AATATTATAAAAGTAATTATAATTTTTTAAAAAATAATTATAATTTAAGCTCTACTTCTGCATGGAGCACAGTTTTTTAAAAATAAAATTAAAATACTAAAGAACTCCGGATTATTTACCTAACCTGTTCTTTCCTATTTTCTACATATCTGCACACACACACACACACACACACACACACACACACACACACACACACACACACACACACACACACATATATATATATATAAAATATATATATATATATAATAATAATAATAATATTAACGAAATTCCTTTAATAATGAGGCACTTCAGAATCATCTAAAGTTAAACTTTAACTATAGAATCAAACTAAAATCTAAATAAATTTAAAATATTAAAATATAGGTAATGATTGAGAAATGTATGTATATAAAATTTATGTATGAAGATGGATAAACATTTTTGCATATTGTTACACGTGTGTCTATGTGTGTATTTGCACATGTTAATAAACGTATGTATATATGGATTTGCATGAATATGTTTGTGAGATAAATATAAGAAGAAAACAAAATCTTTAATATTACCCTCAAATATTATTAAATAATGAAACCTAACCCTTAATTAAGTTTACCCATATAATAATAAATAAAAATTACATTCATAAATTAGATTAAAAGTAAAAATAATATAGATGTTATTGTTACCGTAATTTTCTTACTATATTATGGAAATACAATTGGTCGGGTAAATAAACTATTATAATTTTAAATATTTCTTTAATAAGTTCTCGATAAAAATGCTAATAATAGTAGTAGTTAACTCATATTAAGTCCCTAAACTATTTACTTAAAAAATTAAATATTTAAATTGATAACATTCATCATTTTTTAGAGATCTAAATTTCTATCAAGCATTGAAATCTATCTTTTACATAATTTTGTTAAAACAAAATTACAGCCTCTTTCGATTCACTTCCCTCTCCCCATCTCTTTTTGCCGTAACACTCATTTAGATATATCTGTATTACTGTCGTCTGTCTCCTCTCTCTTTTCCTTTTCTTTTTTCCCCTTCCATTTCCTACATATCATTTCCGTTAAGTTAACCATCTAAATAGGTCAAGGTTCGGTCACTCCTCCTACCCCAATATAAAGCATGCTTAAGAGAGATATGAAATGAACCCCTCCCTATACTCTACCTTGTCTCGTTAACTACAACTCTCACCACCCCCCTGTTAAATTACAAAAATTACACTACCCATCAATTTCTAATCCCATTTTTCCTTTCATTTCGTTGTTGGAAGTGTTACCTGATGATTCGGAGTCCTTTTAAAAGGATTTTGGTGAAATAAATTATTGTAATGGTACCTTAAAAGTGGTCTGTTTTTCATTTATATATATATATATATATATATATATATATATATATATATATATATATATATATACAGAGTGCGATTGGTAAATTGTCCCTATTTAATATTTTTAATTTGGTGCATGTGCATTTTTTTTTTTTTTTTCTTTTTTGACTGCACTTTATAGTATAGTCAGTTGGGAACTTTCTGTGAGAAAAAGAGAACCATGACTCAATTCACTCCACCAGGAATTTGGAAACACCATGGTATACTGATTGGCATTCGTGCCGGAAGCTCTAATATGAACATTTCAGATATTTTGTGTGTCAATCAGTGCAGAGGATACGGAAATAGAAGGATGAGTCTAATGGTGATTACGTAGCGGCTTGAGGTCATCACAAGTGATGGCGACGTCATGTCTCCATTCATCTTTCCACGGACGCCTGCATTACATTCCTCGAGGAGGGACTACGCCATAGGTCAAGAAACTGGCTGCAGGAAGACCCTATATCTGGTAACAGGACTCTGTACCATGCAACACAAGCAGGAGAGTCCAGTCATGGCTGTTAGACAATTTCTGAGACCACATCACCCCATATATCTGGCCACCTAACTCCCCAGACTGTAACCCCCTTGATTATTATGTGTGGGGCGCATTTGAGCGAGAGACCAACAAATCTTTTTTGTGACACCAAAGATGAACTGAAGACAAGAATTATGGCAACATTCACCAACTTAAACAAGGAGACCGTCTAGAAGACTTGGAAAAGATTCCGAAGTCGTCTTGAGGCCCCGGCTGAAGCCAATGGCGATTCTATTGAATAAATTAACTCTTTAGTATTTCAAGATATTTTTGTTTAATTTTGGTAAATAGATCTGTTAAGATGAAATGTCAGTGTCATTTTCATGTTTGTGAAATTTAGACGACAATTTATCCATCGCACCCTGTATCTCGGCAGTATCTCTCTCTCTTTCTCTCTCTCTTTCTTTCTTTCTTCATATATATACATATATTATTCTCATTTCAACATAACTTAGAAAACAATTTATGCATCGCACACTGTATCTCGACAGTATTTTCTCTCTCTTCCGCTCTCTCTCTCTCTCTCTCTCTCTCTCTCTATATATATATATATATATATATATATATATATATATATATATATCATTCTCATTTCGGCATAACTCAGACGGCAATTTATCCATCGCACCCTGTATATGTCTAATATATTTATTAATTTGCGAAATGGGAAAATATCCTGCGGTCTTACGTTTCCTTCTGAGAAAGAACTTATTTAGTCAAATACGAACGAATCTTCTCACTTTCTCTCTCGCTTTTCCACTCTCTCTCTCTCGCTTTTCACACACACACACACACACACATATGGACGTGTGAGTCTTGTCATGAATATCAACTCGGAATGCAAAATTGAAGAGACGAGTTCGAATCCCAGCCGACTTCATTGTATTCATCCATGTGAAAATACACCTGTGAAAGGTGTGAATCGATTCCTTCGTCTGTCCATCGGTATGGGTAAAATAGTAGGGTAGGCTGAGCTCTTTAGCCTTAATTGGCAACCAGTCTAGGAGAAAGAAAACTCTGAATTCCAAACTCTATATGCACCGGTTCTTTCTATTCTGCCACCATAATGAAACAAAAAAGTGCGAATACTCTGACTGTTTTTTAATCTGATCTTTTTTTTTTTGTTTTGTTTTGTTTTCTGTTTTTTTTTTCTCGGTTGGTCACCCTGTACCTAGCCCAAGAACCATTCGTAGGTAGATGTTTACAGAGTAAGAGGCACGTTTTATGTGGATATGTGTGGAAGATAACGGATGACTCTAGACATGAACAAGTTAAGATTGTAGTGATCGGAGAAACATCCACTTGGGAAACGGTTTGACAATGAGACTGGTCGTGGGACGAAGCTGTTCGAGGAGAAATTCTTATCTCCCCAGTCGAATACGAAGGGAATTGTATGGGTTCCTACGATGTGCGTGCGATGCTAGGTCTTAGTTTTGAAAATTAGAATTGGTGGAAATAACGACTGTTGTTCGTCTGGACGATTTCCATGGATACATATTTAATCCATTTCCTAATGCATATATATATATATATATATAT